TTAAATGTGTTGCACAAATGGATGGGCTCAAAAACCATATGGAGTATTAAATGATGCACATCAACCTTTCCCTATTATTTGGGCGGGGTGGGGGGGGGGGGGGGGGGGCAGGACCACACTGAGAGGCAGGAGGCGAGTTTCAAATCTAGAAGACACTTTTCAAGCTGTTCGTTTATCTTGGCCGTGTGTGGCTGCGGCGCAAATAGCCACTGCAGCTGGTGGGCCCTTAACCCAATAACTCGCATGGTTATGGTTATATTATGTATGCTCTAGTAAGAACTGATCAGTTGTCTAGGATAATTATTTTTTATAAATTTATTCCCAATGGTTTGTAAGGGTGATTTCGGATTCAGAGTACCTGCTAAGCATAGCTTGTTGCGTGTACCCCAAACCCACCACCCAGGCGTGCCGTCCAGCTCAACAGCTAATTTTGCCTCCGCCCTTTCGCCAGACAGGCATGCGGAGGGTTTTACGTGCCGCACAATGCTGCGACACGGCCGCCTCGGGTCTGGGTTGAACCTTGTTGGCCAGTTGCCAGCTGGCCTTTCCTTTTCAGTCGGGTCAAACAGTGCGCCCACTCTGGGACTCGTACCCAGCCCAGTATCTTTCCCCAAGACCACGGAGGCGGCAAATTAAAAAGTAAATGAAAATAAGTAATTCGAAAAATTGTCAGAATGTCATTGGTGGACTCGGTTCCGCCTGGGAGAGTTGTGTGGATCGACAGCAGCTACATAGAAGCGTGCGATATTGTCTTATGTCAGTGTGGTGAGGGGGCCGGGTTCGAATTTCCATTGCGTCATGGCTCTTGGGTGTGTTAATATGACCGTTATACCTCGGGAACTACCGTGCCGTTCTGTACCGACAGCCAACCGTGAAAGCGCGCGCCACGATGATCATCACGTCCCTCAGCATGGACTTGTCTCTGACGCAACTCGCACCCTTTTTGCCAGTACTTCGTGTCTTATCACAGTAGCAAGTGTGCTAGCACAGATGTGAGGAATTATGCTATTTATTGGCGGTGCCTGCGAAACGCACACCTGTTGCCCGATGTCTGCGGTGTGCTCCTGTGCGGCTGTTCGGGGTGATGTTCTCTCCCCAGTGTGAATGGTTCCCGATGTCTGCGGTGTGCTTCTGTGCGGCTGTTCGGGGTGCTGTTCTCTCCCCAGTGTGAGTGGTTCCCGGTGTCTGCGGTGTGCTTCTGTGCGGCTGTTCGGGGTGATGTTCTCTCCCCAGTGTGAGTGGTTCCCGTTGTCTGCGGTGGTGCTCCTGTGCGGCTGCTCAGGGTGATGTTCCCCCTCAGGGGCGTAGCGCGAGGGCCAATACCGCTCTAAAGCGGGAGTTGGACAGCGGATCAACTCGGAGTCCATGTTGAATCTCAGCAACCTGGCGCTCTCCACCCTCCGAATGGGTATGTGTGCAAACCCTTATGGATCAACAGCAGCTACATAAATCGATACATAAGATAGCATAAAAGCGGCGTTGTGCGTTCTACGTTTGTTGATAGTGTTCGCCATGCATTCCCCTCTATAGAATATGACGAGTAGTGATTCAGAGTGCGCCCACAAAGTCACAGCTTTACATAGCGACCTGGAATCGGACACGACGGTTGCCGTTTGCGTTAGAGTCGCACTCGGTTCCCCGCTCGGGTGCAGGCAGAGGGGCCGCCACTGAGCAGGCCGCCGCGCCGCCTCCCTGCCGCAGGTGACGCTCAGACGGAGAGCGAGGGCGAGGACGACCAGCCGACGCTGAAGCGTCTCGAGGCCGACATCATGGACTCGTCCGACAAGCAGAAGAGCGGCCACGTCGGCGATCTCTTCTCCGAGATCCACCTCAACGAGCTGCGCAAGCTGGAGAAGCAGATTGAGCAGGTGAGCAGGCCGCCGGCGAGCGTGCTGGTGATCTGAGTGGAGGGTGGCAGTGATGCCGATGAAGCTGGCCGAGGCGACGGATGGACTGCTGCAGGACCTGCTGCAGTCCCTCTGATGTTTGGGATCAGTAGGTCTCCTCAGGCATCAAGTTAACAGAAGCGATTCTTTCATTGTTGTTGTTACCAGCTGCCCACTGCCACAGTGGCTTGAGGATGCTGAGGTGCTCTATTTTCATATTATTTTATAAAACGGACGGCTGTTGGGTTCCAGAGTATTCCAAATAGTCCATTTTGTGTGCCTTCGGTTTGTGTGCGTTGTGCGCTGCGTGATCCTCATTTACAAACCCTGATGTTAATGATATTGTGGCATAGTTTTGTTTTCACACCAATCGCGCGCATGAACTACACCCACGGCCACGACGGTGTGGTCAGTTCTGGCGGCTGGCGGCTGCCACGTCCTCCGCGTGTGCCTCCTATCCTCCCCTGGCCGCGGACGGAGCCGGAGGGAGCCAGCTGACCCGTGCCCCTCTGCCCGCAGGCGGACGCCGAGAAGGGCCAGCTTACGCGCAGTCTGCGCGACAGCCAGGAAAGCCTGGAGCGGGCGCGCGCCGAGCTGGAGTCGCAGCGGGCGCAGGCCGCCCAGCTGGTGGCGCACGTGGAGGCGCTGATGGCCCTGCACGAGGAGGAGGAGGGCGACAGCCTGCCGCCGACGGTCGGCGCCGCCGCTCAGTCGCCGGAGCTGGCCAAGGTCGAGCAGGTACGGCGGCCGGCGCGGCTGGACCGACTCTGCGACTCTGACACGGGCATGGTGTGGGGACGGGACAGAGACGCTGGTCAAGCAGCACGCTCTGGCGACATTGGTGGCGCACAACACGGGAGAAGTTCGTCGTGTATCCTCTTCGTGGTCGGAAATGCCCATGGTTTGCGCTGTTAGATCGGTGGCCAGGCGATGAATGCTGCCACCTATTTCATTATGTGCAACTGATGAGAACATCGTGTCACTGTAACTCACGGATGCCAGGTCAAACAGCAGACCTTCAACTGGCCTGCCGGGGGTGACCAGTCGTCGACCGGTGCCGCCTGTGGTGCGCCGCGGTGCTGCCATGTCGTGCCGGAGTGCCAGCCGCCCGCTCCCCTGTGCCGTCCAGGTGCTGGACAAGCACCGGCAGCGGCACCAGCTGGCCATGCTGGAGATCAGCCGGCTGCAGACAGACATCCAGCACATGCAGGCCTCCGAGACCAACTCGTCAGAGGCCGTCGTCAACCTGCGCAACGAGGTGGGCACGGCCGGCGCTCACCGCGGCCCGTGGCGGTCGGCTTCGGCTGTGCCGGCTCCGGATGCGTTCGTTACCTATTCCTACCACGAGTGTGCCGAGCCCGACGACCGTTTTGTGGCCGTCGGTGTGCACGGATGCCCCGGCGCTAGCCGACTGGCGTTGGAGCCTGCCGCGGACTGGATCGCTGAAGGGTTGCGACGGCCGCTACCCGGATCGGAGCGGCTGCCGGTGGTTATCTGGGGTGGGCTGCTGGTGGTTGTCTGGGGAGGGCTGCTGGTGGTTGTCTGGGAATGGCTGCTGGTGGTTGTCTGTGGAGGGCTGCTGGTGACTGTGTGGGAGCGGTTGCCGGTGGTTGTCTGGGGAGGGCTGCTGGTGGTTGTCTGAGGAGGGCTGCTGGTGGCTGTGTGGGAACGGCTGCTGGTGGTTGTCTGGGGAGGGCTGCCGGTGATTGTCTGGGGAGGGCTGCTGGTGGTTGTCTGGGGAGGGCTGCTGGAGGTGGAGCGAGGTATGCAAGGCGTGGCTGTTTTGTGGATTCGCCGTGCTCGGGCAGCGCTATGTTTTCATGGCATTGCACCGACCCACCTGGAATGGTAGGAAAATTTCCTGATTGCCTTGAAATTGGGGTTGTGTCTAAAGGCCCCCACGCGAAGTGGAATGCGTTGCCGTTTTTAGTATGCCCCAACGTCGCACAGGCACTCCTTGAGAATGTGATTCACACGCGGCCTAGTCCGAGTCGATGAGGGGTTATGTGCACTGTAGGTGGCGGAATGGCTGAGTCGGTAACAACAGTGGCCTCCGCACGGAAGGCGCGGACCAAGCTCCCGGCCGACACTCTGGCCTATGTCTCCCTGTCTGCCCCCTGCGTTGGCTAGCTTTCCTTTAAACAAGCGCAGTGAGGTGCACCGCGTATCCTTAAAAAAAAACTCTGTGACTGCGTGACTGAGCGACGCCACTGGTCTGTCCTTGGCAACGGTGTCAGTGGTGTCCACTGCCGGCGTGGACACCGCTGCGTTGTCGCTCGTCCGGGGCCAAGTCTGACGTGTGACGTCACTGATCTGGCCGTGACCGCCGCAGGTGACGTCGCTGCGCAGCCGCCTCTCCGAGTCGGAGGTGCACGTGGGCGACCTGCAGTCGGACTTGTCGGTGCTCAGCCAGCTGACGGCGCTGACGCAGGGCACGCTGTCCAGCACGCAGGAGGACATGCTGGGCGTCAGCGAGGAGCTGGCCCAGCTGTACCACCAGGTCTGCCTGGCGCACGGCCAGACGCCCCATCGCGTCATGCTCGAGCACATGCAGAACGTCAAAACTCTGGGTACGTGGCGATGCGGGGGTTGTGTGGGGAAGACCGGGGCAGTGTCGTCCCGTCTCTGCTTCGGCGACGTCGGCCCCGGGGCGGGCAGCCTACGCGCGGCCCCGTTCTGAGGCGTGAAAGGGAAGATAATGACATCAAGTTTTTGTGTCACGGTGACTGCGTATCCAGCAGCGCACATTACCGCTGTCTCGTTCGCGGCGCCCCTGTCGTCGACTGGTCGCCACCATCACGTTCGCGGCCCGGCTCGGTGACTGGCGCCGAGTCGCGGCTGACTGCGAGGTGTACCAATCAGTGTCTGTGCGCTGTTTTCACGTTAACGGAGAAGCTTCCTAGCTCCAGTCTTGTGCTGCTCATGTTGGGTGTGGATGCGCCCCCGACGGCCTGGTGTACCTGACGTGCGCCGCGTTTCGCGCAGGCGAGGGCAGTCCCAGCCGCGAAGGGTCACCCAACAGCTCGTTCGCGCCCACCAAGTTCGAGCAGCTGATGAGCTCGCTGAAGCTGGCCAAACCGCTGAAGGAGGGCGAGGCGGCCGACCCGACCCTGGTCGCCAAGCAGGTCAGCAGAGGGGGCGAGAGGGGTCGGAAGTTTGATATAGACTGGTACTGGCAGAAGCCGCTGACACCTGTATTGACTCCAGTGAAGTGGTTCATGGCTTTGTGTGGGTTGGTTTTGTCCAGGCCGTCTGGCGCCGACCGGTCGCATTGCAGGGAGCAGATCTGCTGCCTGGACTCTGCGACAGGCGGAATTGCCGTGGTCTTCGCGCCCGCCTCAGTGTCAGAGCGCACGTCTTCCCACCCAGCTGAGACGCGACACGACGTTACACGTGTCCAGCCCCTCCCGCGTGACACCGTCCGCGTGCCGTGCCCAGATGGAGACGATCACGGACCAGGTCAAGTACCTGCGCCGCGCCGTGGAGCACGTGATGGACCTGAACAAGCAGTCGGCGGCCGGGCCGCGCGCCGAGACCGACGGCGAGGCCGACACCGAGCAGCTGCAGATGGAGGAGCTGCAGGAGCAGGTGCGCTGCGGGCGGCCGGGGAGGGGAGGGGGCGGGAGCAGGGACGGCCGCGCCTGCTGTCTCCGTACCGTCCGAGTGAGCGCAGGTGGAGTTATTTCGGGGCGGCGCGACGCCAGGAGCCTCGTTCAGGAGCGCCGCTGCTATCCTGCGGTGGGTTTGGACAGGGGCCCCATGTGTAGGTACGGCCACTGCGTCGTTACTGGGGTGACATACTCAGACGGTAGGTGTCGCTTACGGGGGATGGTTATCTGCTCGTACACTGTGAGCTGCCGTCCGCCTATTACGCCACCAGGGTGGAAGGTAAGGTGTGTGGTTGGAGCTGTGGAGATATTATCTGGGACACGTGGGCTAGTCGTGAATAAATTATGGGGTTCAGAGCCTGCCATAGCTATTCTATTCGCAGTGGCGTAATTGTTTTGGACGAGCTGCGTCCTAACACTGTCGCATGACAATGCTGGTAAGGTCCCCCTCCAATCCTGGACATTGAAACCGGTTTCTCCGTGTAGCTTGACCGTGTTCTCCGCCTCTGACCTCCCCCGGCGCGCCAGGTGATCAAGCTGAAGAGCCTGCTGTCCACGAAGCGGGAGCAGATCGCCACGCTGCGCACCGTGCTCAAGGCTAACAAGCAGACGGCCGAGGTGGCGCTGGCCAACCTCAAGTCCAAGTACGTCAACGAGAAGACCATTGTCAGCAAGACCATGATGAAGCTGCGCAACGAGCTGCGCCTGCTCAAGGAGGACGCGGCCACCTTCTCCAGTGAGTCGGACAGATGGGCTGACGCATCTGGGTGACCTGCTCTGGATCAGGCGCCGCTGGGCCGGGCCTATCAATGGCTTGGTTTCCGAACGCCTACGTCTTTGTCTTTACGATGTGATGGCTACCCCACGTGCGGTGCTGAGGTGTGCATCACATGTGCGTTGGTTATTCTTCGTCTTTACTTTTTGAAAAATGCCTTGGCACTGTAAGGCCGTTCGCGCTGTGGATGATGGTGCAGCTCTTAAGCGGGGTGATATTTGCCACATCTATCTGTGATGCAGTGCACTCCAACCTCACGGTAAGTTTGTCTCGTCGATCATACTCTGGGTGGGGTCAGCGCGAGGGCGGAGGCGGGCCCTTGCGAAGTCGCGGCGTACGAGGCTAGGTGTGAGCTCCTCGGCCTGTGGTACAGACGTGCCGCCGCCGCCACCGAGGCTGCGTGTCCCGTCCACGGGCCGCCGTGTGGCGGGTGTTGGCCGTGCCGCCGCCATCACCAAGGCCGCGTGTCCCGTTCACGGGCCGCCGTGTGGCTGGTGTTGGCCGTGCCGCCGCCGTCACCGAGGCTGCGTGTCCCTTTCGCGGGCCGCCGTGTGGCGGGTGTGCGCCGCGCCGCCGCCTCACCGCTGGCGCCGCCGCCGCCGCCAGGTCTGCGCGCCATGTTCGCCGCTCGCTGCGAGGAGTACGTCACGCAGGTGGACGAGCTGCAGCGACAGATGGCCAGCAGCGAGGAGGAGAAGAAGACGCTCAACTCGCTGCTGCGCATGGCCATCCAGCAGAAGCTGACGCTCACCCAGAAGCTGGAGGACCTGGAGCTGGACCGCGAGCGGCGGCCGGCGCGCTCCTCCGCCGCGCAGGTCAGTGTCGGGGCGGTCACCGGGTGAGGTCAGGTGTGGGTGACGTCACGCGCCGGGCTGCTGGTCTGCTGTCGTGTGCCGCGCTGGTGCGCGTCGTGTGCTTCGCGCTAGATGTTCGGCGGGAGTTGACATTGGGTCGTTGTGTTCTGAAGAGTCGATCTCCCGCCCTCCCACCTCTCATCCCCAACGCACTATGCTTTAGCAGTTGGTTGACGTGCTACATTCACCGTGGTGCGGCTGTTGTTGCTGTTGTTGTTTTTGTTTGTTGTCAAATTCTGTGAACTTGGGTCAAGTCCACGTTCGCCGTCCGCCTCGCCTTGTTACACTGTTTCGCGGCCGCCGCATCACCGTATCCATTTCGATCGCTGTTGTCAGTCCCTCGCCGGCCGACCCGTATGGTGCCACGTCCGCGGCGGCCAGTGTCACACCCGTGCGGGTCACGCGTGCCGGCGTCACCGGGCCGCTCGCTCGAGTGCGCGTCGCCCCGGCAGCCTCCGTCGGCACATCGCTGGCTCGGCGTCAGCCGCGCGCTGACCCGGCACTGTGTCCCGGCGTGTGGCGGCCGGCCCTTCGATCCCCTTCAGTCACACTTTGCTATGACACTGTGACACCGTCGCTGGTGTGTCACTCTGCCACAGTTTCTGTCCGTCGCCGTCGGTCGTGAGTCGCCGTGCCAGCTCCTGCGCGTCGCTGTCAGTCACCGCTTCACCGCGGCTGGCTGTGTTAATGTTGGACGTGGCTCGCAGTGGCACTGTATCTCTGTCAGTGACGGTGCCAGTGGCAGTGGCAGTGTCACGGTTGTGTCAGCGCCGTGTCATCGTGTCATCGTGTCATGACATCTCTCCGTCGCTGCCGGTGTTGCCGTCGCTGTTCCGACTGCGTCTCCGCCGGTGCCGCGCCGCCGCGTGACTGTCTCCCTCGTGCCGGCAGGACGGCAGCTGGCGCCGGTTCGGCGGCGGCGAGCGCGGCCGCTCGCGGGGTGGCGCGGCCCGCGGTGGCCGCTTCTCAGCCGGCGGCGGCGGCTACGGACGTCGGGAGACCTGACCCGCGTGCACCCAGATGTAGCCCCGTTCACCTGCAGGCCGTGCCCGCCGTCCGGTCGACGGCGGGCCGCCCGGTCTTAAGCTGCGGCCGGCCGGCGGCGCTGTAGTTCTTCACTCGCTTCGACATTTCAGCGCGGCGCCGCGCCGTTTGTGACGCGGTGCCGCGTGTTCCGGCCGGCAGCGTACTTAACGTGAATGCAGCTGCGCGTACGGGTCCTGTGAGCGCGAGATCAAGCGGATACCAAAGGAGGCTGCTCCCATCTCTCGTCTGAAGTGGATGCAATATCGTGAAGTATTACGGCAGCGTCGTTCTGATTCCACGCGGTGCTTCCGGCGGCTGCCGTGTGTTCGGCGCGTTCGTTTCCGTTACTGCGCCGCACGCCGTCCATGGGGCATTTGTCCGGTCGCGAGGGACGTTGCCAGACTGAGCCAGTGTATATTCCGGTTGCCATGCTCCCCTGCCGCCGCTGGACTGTCACGCCCCCACCCTCCCCTTGCCCGTTACGGTCCCCCTCCCTGGCTGCTGTCGGTGCGGGCGCCTGTCCTCGTGTTGTTGCGGGCCGACCCTCGGCGCCCCCGCGCTCCGCGTCTGTTGTACAAAGTCGGGCAGGCCGCGCCGCTGGCATGCTTGTGCCAAACCGTCCAGGTGCGGCCCGGCCCGGCGGCGGCCGCGCCCGCCGCTGGCTCGGCTCGGCTGGCTCGTGCCCGCTCCCAGGGTGGGGGTGGCGAGCGAGCCTCCCCCGGCCGAGGTGTGGACCAGCCGCGTGTCGCGGCGTTCTCAGTCGCGGCCGGTGTATTTATTGCATGCCTCTGAGCTTGGTGCGCGGTAGCTTTAGTCTGGAGGTGGTGTGTGAATGGAGGACCGCCCGTGAAACACCCACGAGGCAGCTGATCGGTTTTATATTTTGTCCTTTTAGATGCGGAATATGTTTACATAATATGCGACAATCGAGTCTGACCTGCGCCGACAATATAACAGGTAACTGACATGTTTAGTATAACTGCGCTTTAATAAACTATCGGAAAACAATGAGCGTTCTGCATGGGACCAGACGGCATGCACGATCTACAGGAGCAGATGCCTTGCGGGTTGAATTGTTCACCGGAATTATTCGAACGGAGCGCATGAAATGCTGGGACGGCCGCCTTCTGAGCGACATCGTCGCAACATGGCTTCTCTGCAGCTCAGGCGTCCCGCTAGGTCTGACCGGAAATTCGTAAGTTGCCAAATCGTATTGGTGTCCGTCTGGCCTCCCGACGCGGCTGCGAGGCGTCTCGGTACGCTGACGGCTGCACACGACGACGTAGGATACGGACCGTGACGGCACGCCATCGCGGGAGCGGGGCTGCCGGATACATCCCACGCGTCCGTGTCAGCGGCCTCGTGATTGCAACGCCGCAGCTCTGTGCTCGGCATCGACGCAGGCGACTGGCACTCCGCCGCCGAGCCCAACCAGCTGGGTCGTACCGCTGGTACCCCCACAGCCCTAGCAGCTGGGTCGTACCGCTGGTACCCCACAGCCCTGGCAGCTGGTTCGTACCGCTGGTACCCCGGAGCCTTAGCAGCTGGTTCGTACCGCTGGTACCCCCACAGCCCTAGCAGCTGGTTCGTACCGCTGGTACCCCGGAGCCTTAGCGGCTGGTTTCGTACCGCTGGTACCCCACAGCCTTAGCAGCTGGTTCGTACCGCTGGTACCCCGGAGCCTTGGCAGCTGGTTCGTACCGCTGGTACCCCACAGCCCTAGCAGCTGGTTCGTACCGCTGGCACCCCGGAGCCTTAGCGGCTGGTTCGTACCGCCGGTACCCCACGGCCCTTGCAGCTGTTTCGTACCGCTGGTACCCCGGAGCCTTAGCGGCTGGTTCGTACCGCTGGTCCCCCGGAGCCTTGGCAGCTGGTTCGTGCCGCTGGTACCTCACAGCCCTAGCAGCTGGTTCGTACCGCTGGTACCCCCGGAGCCTTGGCAGCTGGTTCGTACCGCTGGTACCCCGCAGCCCTAGCAGCTGGTTCGTGCCGCTGATACTCCGTAGCCCTGGCAGCTGGTTCGTGCCGCTGATACTCCGTAGCCCTAGCAGCTGGTTCGTACCGCTGGTACCCCGCAGCCCTAGCAGCTGGTTCGTACCGCTGGTACCCCGTTGCCCTGGCAGCTGGTTCGTGCCGCTGATACTTCGTAGCCTTGGCAGCTGGTTCGTACCACTGGTGCCCCGAATCCTTGGCAGCGAGACAGCCCGGTCCGTGTGACCTGTGTACTGACGTCCCCACCTCTAGTCGTCCACGCTCTGTCCAGTAGTCACGACTGACACGCATTGGGACGTGCTCCTGTGAGGTCAAGCACACCTCGACTCAGGCCTTGGGTCCCAGGGCGGCGCTCGACTCGCTGCGCATGTCTGAGGTCCCTGGCCGCTCGCCGTAACACAGGGCTCGGCGCGAGTCAGCGCCGCTCGTCCGGCACGCCTCGGAGGGGCCTGACGTCGCGGGGCCGCGCACCATGGGACTGGCCTGCGGTGGCGTCGCTGGGGGCGGTCGCAGCTGGCCCCAGGCGCCGCGCTGGCAGCTCAGCACTCGCGCCACCGCCGCCAGTGCGGGCGTGCTCTGCTGTGGTTGGCCTGATAACCCCAACCCGAGCATTAACTTACCTATGGGCCTTGCTTACATCTATAGCGCAGTACACCAGACTGACGGACATGCAGCTGTGACAAAAGCTGTCTGCGGATCACTGCATAGCAACGCTTCCCCGCCACACATCGCCACAACCACTTGTAATGCGACTCTCCACACTTACTGCGCAGATTTGACATGGACTTTTGCCCGCGTTCCACCGCATCAAAACCGATTGCACCGTATCAACCTCGTTCTACACCAAATAACTCAACGGCTGGTTGCGCCCTCCAACACTTACCTGTGTGTATGGCATCAGCGCGTCGACGCGGCAAACAACGCCCCCCCCCCCCCCCCCCCCCCCCTGTCAACAGCTGTCGTATCTCGCCCGCAAGTCGCACAGCGTCCAGGTCCCTATCTACGCGCCATGTACCCATCCACGCGTTATCACTCGTTCAGAAACAAAAACATGGGTTCGGGCTCGGCGAAACGCTTGCGGCCGTGAAGCATATCGCTGGTCGCGAGGAAGACCGCAGGCCAAACGGATCGATTACGTCGCCTTACCAATCCGTCTGGCCATTCTTGCGTCAATTCTGGTGTTTGGTGCCAAGCCCCGTCTGTTGGATATCACACGCACTCATTCTTTCGTGTTTGGTATTAAATGAACGTCAGATGCAGTCTCCAGCTAATATTATGGCTATTTTAGGATGCAGGTAACTAAAATGGTTTGATCAATCAGACAGCAATAGCTATCGATAGCGGCTGCACATCATTTCCAATTGCTGCACTCACAGCCATTTCCATTGTTGCATTTACGACCGTTTCCATCGCTGTATTTACATTTTACAACCACCACGTCTGCATGAGCACCTGCATGCGTACAGGACACAGACATTGCGTAATTCAGAGATCCGACTAGACCAAGAACACTCCTGAACGGCGAGGGTATTCATCGCAACTGCCGTCCGCTTCGGCGCTAGATATTTGGTGTCCGAGCGAAAAATCGACTCGCGGTTCGCCGAGCGCCTTTCTGCCAGCTGCTTTAGGGTGAACTCCACATTGGTGTCATGTAGAACGTCGGTGTTCAGAAATTCGAATCGGTTCGATGCCGAACCACAGACTGGCGGCACGGACGAATGGCGCAATGCCAAAATGGCGAACCCCTGATTGGGGAATTAAAAAATGATGACACGTGAAAAAGTTGACGTGCCGTAATGGAAGGTGCGAAATGATGCGTAAAAAGGTTGGCATGCTAAGCTGGCATACGGCTTATGTTGCCTAACTACTGAAGGGTAATGTTTGAATAAATGCCGACATTGGAAGATATCTCAGCTGACACCCTATTTAATTTATGACATCCAACAGTGCGACGCTACCTTGTCTTTTAACCTTGAACAGGTATTTACAAATCAACCTTGATTCACGTGCTCTAACACGCGCCCGGGTGGCCGGCTCGATACCTTCGCTAGTGTGAGGGTCAAATTGACCCCCCTGAAATCCCGGGAACTAAGAAAGCTAGAGACACCAAATTTACGGGGTGTGTCGACCTGTACGTGAACTCACTTAGGTCGAAGTTTCAGGTTCCTAGGTCATGACCTTTGGGTCCAAACGGTCAAACAAAGTCAAGTTCCAGGTTGGTCTTCGAAGTGCCCTCAGAACGTAGATAGCCGTTTCCAAGCAAAAGGCCACATTCTTATTTAAGGTCAGTGACCTTGTTTGACCTTTTGAAGGTCAGGGTGACCAAAATCATACAAGATTGTTTTGAGTTTTGCATTTGACTAAGCGACAAAGATTACGCTAGGCAGTATGATCCTAAAACAAAGTGTTGACCTAGGTCATTTTAGGTCAATGACCTATTCTGACCTCTAAGAAGTCCATGGAAGATGCATAATGCGGTTCCTGCTATCACTGAACTCGAAATGGGCACCAGAGACTATCCCATACAGCAGGCCCTTGAGTAATAAAACAGGTTGGTTTAGACCTTGGTGTGACCTTCATACCTGACCTTAGGTCAGCTTAATTTGCCCATTCAACTGTTGTGTTGTCTAAGAAAACACTCCGTTGTTGGATTAGGTTGAAAGATTCCCTAGAAATTGCCTTCGCTGAAACCATGGCCTGACTTTGACCTGTCATAGGTCAGCGACCTTACAGGGCCCATCTAAATTTTTGATGCCAAGCGATCCGCTATTCAATTGTCTACAGCTATGCAAAATTAGGCGGGGCTACGCCGCGCCGTTCGGAAAAAAACCTTTGGGGGGTCAATTTGACCCCCCCCCCATCCGAGCGCGTTACAGAGCCCAGGCTTCAACGAATACCTAGGCTTCAAACGGCACTTGCCCGAGCGCATCAGTCCCATACAGCAGCAGGTCGGCGATGCTCCGTCCTTTGACCTTGAAACTTTGCGTTTTTATAACTTATTTTTAACCGCAACGACTGACCTTGAAGGCCGTCATTTTCATAACTAGGCTGACACGCATATAGGCCTCTCAGATGACTCAGATGACTAGGCACCCATATAGGCCTTTTGGTAAGCCCGTGCTGCCCCGTTTTTTACCTAGACCTTCACCGCCTAGTTTGGCTTTCACTTACGGGTTTCTGGGAGCCCAGGCTGGAACTGATTACTGGTTTTCAGACGACCCTCCATTTAATGATGGTAGTGCTTTACAGCGGTAGCATGACACTACCCCGTTCTTGGACCCTGAGTGTGACCCTGACTCGTTTGTTTTTTTTTACCTAGACCTTAACCGCGTAGTTTGACTTTCACTTACGGGTTTCTGGGAGCCCAGGCTGGAGCTGACTTCTGGTCCTGCGATCGATCAGACGACGCCCCATTTAATGATGGTAGTGCTTTACAGCGGTAGCATGACACTACCCCCGTTCTTGGACATTGAGTGTGACCCCGAAAATCTACCTGGATTCACGCCTTTCCGGCAGCTGAGGCTGAAGTGGATATCTGGCTAGCGAATGACCTGGCCGCCTCCATGGTCTAGGGGAAAGATGCTGGGCTGGTAATCAGGCGGCGCTGGATACGATTCTCAGAGTAGGCGCACTGCTTGACCCGACCGAAATGGAGAGGTCGGCTGGCAACTGGCCAACGAGGGTCGACCCGGGCACGGGGCAGCCGTGTCGCAGCTCTGTGCGGCACGTAAAAACTTCCGCATTCCCGTCTGGCGCGAGGGCAGAGGTAAAATTATCTGTCGACTCGACGGCACGACTTTGGCGTGCTGGGGTGCACGCAGCAAGCTATGCTTAGCGGGTTCTGTGAGACCGGTGAGACCACACCCATGCAAACTATTCAGAATAAATTTCTATAAAAAACGACGCCATATTTAGAGGCGTAACCTCCATACAACGAGAATGGGATTTCACCCTAATCTGGACTTAAGCGTGCCCCTGAAATGTATTTTTGCCACCCTACGCTGGAACGCACGCCTGGCTTTCATCTGGAGGCTTTCCCACACACATAGCTTTCATGTGGCGTTGCCCTCGCGCGACCTCGCTCTCGTGACAGCTGGAGGTCAAACTGCTTGAGATAGAGAAAAACACGGTTCTAAACCAGCGGGTTGTGTCTGATCTTGAAACCATTTTCATCGGGATTGGAACTATGCGCTGAATTCGAAAATGAATACGCCGCTGCGCCGTCTGGTCAAGACCATTTCGTCCGTCTAATGCGCTTGACCCGCGTGCGCAATGCGTCGCACCGGCCATTAATGCTACAACCATTTACAGTCGCCTTTCATCAACCAACCCAACATGTCGAAGAGCCGCTAAGCACGGCACCTGGCACCCGCCGTCCCATACAACGTCCTTTACTTACGATACCCATACGCCCACTAGAGACGGCACGCACGTCCGCCCACTGGCTATTACGGCCGACAAAGCATGAGAGCCGGACTGTTACAACGGTGTCTAGTGGGGACAGCACTCAGTGCTCGTGGTATGCGACAGGGGAACTAACGTACACAACACACATCTGTACAAATATGGTATACTTACTTCCCTGCATCGTTCACATCAAATACAGCCCCTTCACAACGCAGTTTATTGACGATACCTCCCGTTTCAGGTAGTTAAGGAATGATATGTCCGGCATGCAATTGAAAATATATTCTCAAACAGCGTTCATGATTAGGTGGCGAGCCGAGCGGTAGCGAATCACATACAAGGTAACTCCCGGATCCGCCGCGGTAAAGCTGCGATAATGCGATCCACATACAACGCGTGCGATAAAATCACCTGGCATGCACGCACCCGACAGCACGATCACGTATGGTGCATGAGTCGTCTGTTACACGACCTGAATCATTTCCACTCCTAAACAGCAGGGCAATCCACGTGTTCAGACCAGCACCGACCAGATAAGACGCGCAAGTGCAATACCAAATGGTGATCATCCAGAAAGCAACACGGTCATTTCGTCACCACGCATCAGTCCATCGTTCCTTCTGGGTGACCACACGCCCAGGCGAACCAGGCCGGCAAGGCACTGTTCGAGGCCCCCAAAGGTCCGCCTGAAAGGGACGGTCCGCAGGCGGCCTCCAACAACGAGCACGCCCGAGGACAAAACGAACGCGCCTCGGACTGGAATTAAAACCTAACCAACGGTGTTAAAGACGGCAACAAACGCCCGGTGGCCCGACATGGGACCGTAAAACTAAAACCGATTAAAACACGGCCGCTTTTTCGGCGTGGGAGGCTCAAGGTCAGCGGAAGGTCGGAGGCCGGGAGTTCGACGAAGCTCGCGGGCGCGCGGGCAATAGCCGGCGAGCCCGATAGGTGGCGCTAGTAGTCGTAAAACTCGCTGCAAAGGCAACAGGCGGCGGTGAGGCGGCGCCTTCCGGGCCCAGCGCGGCCAGACAGGCACAGGCGCAGGCGACAGGCGGCAGGCGGAGCGCGGCCCTACGTCACGCTGCTCACGATGCCAGATATCGAACGACGCCTGCTGGCGGTCCAACGGCGCAAACCCTACCGCGGCCGCTGGGAGTCATGACAGCACCCGGCTATCAGCGCTCGCTGCTCAGGTGTTGCAGTCATGCGGGGTTGGGATGGCGATGACGCGACGCGTCACCATGCAGGCCGGCGTGCAAGGCATGCAGCTGTAAGGGTGGCCGGTCAGCGACCGCTGGGTTAGCCGGAGTTCTACAGCGCAGGTGGTATCCGGAGTTCTACAGCGCGGGTGGCATGCAGGCTGCTACAGCTCGCTGGTGTCCATCGTGAAAAGCAGGCTGCGGAGGAGCACATGCCCGGAAGCGTGTCAAGTTCGTCACACAGATACGACGCCTTCGCCCCCCCCCCCTCTCCCGCAGAAGTGTTAGTGTAGCTACAATTGTAGCCATCGAAAAACTCAGAAGCGTGCAACGAAACGATAACGGGAACCCACTGACCCACCACCGCAGCCTCGTGCCGCCACTGTACGCGGATCGTCGGGCGGCCAGCACCAATGTCTTGTCTCTGGAGCCGTGTCCGCCGCCGGACCGTAGCGGGCAGCGACAGTGTGAAGTTCAGCTTGCACAGACCGCCACCAGATGTCGGGCCGGTTACCTGTTGCCGTGGAGACGGCGCGTGTTGGCCTGCCGCTGCCGGGCCAGAAAGGACGACTGGCCGCCGCTGATGTTCGAGAGACGCTGCTCCACCGCCTGGCGGTGGATCTGCGAGCCCTGGGCACACGTTCACGTGTCACAAAACCTGGCTCCGCTGGATGGCGCATCAAACCCTGCCAACGCGGCCGCGCTCCTTCCCGCGTGACGTCAACCGCTGAGGGTCGAATGGAGACAACTTCGTTCCCAACCGTGCTGTGCGGTTTAGATCACTGGGTTCAGTGCAGGCTTCGGGCTAGTTCGCGACAAACTCACGAAGTTGTAGAAGGCGGTGGTGATGAGCCGCTCCTCGGCCTCGCGGATCGACTTCGCCTTCTCGCTCTCCTTTTCCATCACCTCCAGCAGGCGGTCCTTCTCGGCCAGCTGCGACGGCGCCGCGACACATCAAACACAATCCAACAGTATTAACAGCTTACCAAACATGATAAACTTTCGTCTTACAGTACCAAGTAAACGACCCATTGTGAACACCACTCACACTTCAAATGGGAGTGTGCAGCGTAGCAACATGGGACGCATCCCGTGCCCGCCTGTCGCCCCAGACCCCCCAAGAGGGCCGCCGAGCCGACCGAAGCCGTCTGCTGCCCCGCCGGCGGCGAGCCCACAGCACACCGCTGACCTGATGACGCAGTACGGACACGTCCGGGGAGCTGGCCGAGCCGGCCGTCTTCGGGTCGAGCGAGCGGATCACCGACTTGGCCTTCTCCAGGTACTTCTTGTAGCGCTCCTCCATGGCGGCCATCTCGGCGTCGCGGCGGGACAGCTGCTCCTGCTGCTCCTGCGTGCGAGCCGCTGCCGGCGGCGCGGGCCGGCGTCAGCGCGGGCCGACTCCGGTGCGACGGCGAGGGGGCGAGACAGACACAGGCAGCAGCCCGCCGAGATGTAGCGGACAGGGATTGAGGTGAGACCAGTCAACTGGCGTCCGTACTAGCTGCGCTCGCACTCCTATCGACACTCCAGTTCATACCAGAGACAGTACTGAACACACAAGGGTACTTATGAGCCAACAGAGCATGCACCAACGCGATGCAGCGCGGGAGCCGCCGGAGCGGGCTGCCGACACAGGCGACAATTCGAACAAGTCAGGTCGGCCGCTTGGCAGGACCTGGCGGACCCACTCACCCTGCTCGGCCAGCCGGATCTCCATCTCGCCGATCTGCATCGTCTTGTTCTGCAGCTCCTGCTCGAGCGAGTACAGGCGGCTGGTGGAGGGGGCCGCGCGCTCCGAGCCGCCACCCTCCTCCAGATGCGACTGCAGCTCCAGGATGCGCTGGTTCAGCCGCCTGTGGTGCCGACCGGCGGCGAGAAAGCGAAGCTGAGATACGCGTGGTGGCCGCGGGATACATATGGCGCGGCGGTCGGCGGCGCGCACCGTCCCGCCGCTCGCCGGGTGTAGCCGGCGGCGACGGGGCGAGGCGACAGCCCAGCCGACCCCCGAAGCCGCAGCACAGAGGAGCCGGAGCCCCGGCCGTCGACGCTCGGCGCCGAGCGACGGTGGTCGGCACGTCGGCGCGCGCACGCCCCACGTGACCGGGGACCCGCCCTGGCCGGGCGCCATGGCCGGGCGGGCCGCAGACCACGTGACGCGCGGGCGCGCCGCCGGGAACAGACAGACGGCGACACGGACAGAGTCCCGTCCCGCCCCGCCCCCCGTCCCCCACCGAGAGCTCTCGCCGGGAGGAGAGGAGAGAGACAGAGGAGGGGCGCTCCTGGACCGGGCGGCGGGCGTCTCAACCGAACAGCCGAAAAGGTACTTACATGGTGCACAAGGAAGAGCCGAGTGTCGCACGCTCCGAGGTGAGCTGCAGGGGTGCGTGAGTAGCGAGCAACAGGAGAGACAAGGAGCGACACAAGAGGACAGAGAAGAGCCGCCGCCATCCAACCCACCACCGTTTACCTGCAGCGCGTCTCAGACAGCGGAAGGTCGAGAAACGCCGGTTTAATTCGCTGCCCCGCCCGGTTAGTGGCCGCGCGCCGTCCTGCGTCGCCGCGTCGTGTCGTCGCGTCCGGTCGGGTCAGGTCAGGTCAGGTCGGGTCGGGTCAGGTGGCGTCCCCGTCCATCGCCGCGCTACTGTGGACACATCTGAAAGCGAGCGCCGCGCCGCAAGCAAGCCCCGGCGGGCTGACCATGCTCTCGGGGCCGGGTCGGCCGGTGGCGAGCAGAAACACACGGCCGGCTGGCAGGCGCGTATATTCTCTCGCTCTCTCCGGAGACGGCGGCGGCGGCAGTCGGTGGCGCGGAGCGCTGTCCTGTCCGGGCGTGCTGCGCTGGGCAGGGCGGCCGGGCGGGTGCGGAGCCGGACGGCCCCTCCGTGGTCCGCCTACAGCTTCGAGGCCGGCCAGTACCGGCACATACGAGCCCGCGGTGACCCCGCCACGGGCGACCGCACTCGTGTCAGAAGAGACTCTTCGTGGAGATCACCCGGCTCGGTGGGTTGGTGCGGCTCGGGCCGAGCGGACCACAGAGGGGTCGTGCACACGCTCTCGCACCCGCCGCGCTGCCGGGGTCTACTTCTGAACGCTCGATAACGGAGACAGTGCTCAAGAAAGGCGTCGTGATTTGACCCCACCGACCTCATCATGTAGCGGGTTGTCCGCTTTCGTGTGAAAGAAGAGTGTGGGACAGAAGTAGAAGCCACAGCATGCCCAGACACAACAACCTTCCGTGTGTTTATGACATAAAGCTCACAGTCGCTCACGCACACTACAATGTACTAAGGCAGTGAATAATAAATGAGAGATTCGAAGCAAGATCATATCATTCAGGTGCAACCAATCGCAAAGGTGAACTAGCTACTTAAATGTCGTTCATCTAGCACCTTAAAGTTGCAAAACACAAAACACAAGTTGCATTTAAAGCAAAGGCGCATGCTACCAAGATCTAATCAAACGTAAAACTACAGACCAAACAAGAAAACGACAAAATGCCCTCCCATCCGACAATATTGGGACCAGACAGCGCCACCAAGCAGCCAAGCACCGCGCGCCCTCCTCCCGCTGGCTACCAAGACGTGCGACGTTCGCCGCCGACTGCCTAACGCAAGCAACGCAACAAAACCTCAGCACGCGTGCCGCCGTCCGGCGTGCCGGCGTCAAACCCGGCGCGCAGACATCTGTGAAAGACAAGCAGACGCGAGCCGACGCGGCGCGAGGGGCCGGGTCCGACGAGGTGAGCTCCGGTGGCAGCTCCCCGCCGCGGTCGGCCCTCGCCGGCCGCCGGGCGGCCAGGCCGGGGCCTGGCCAGCCGGCAGGGCACGTACGTCTGCGTCCTCCGCGCGTGTGGCGTCGCGTGAGCTAGCGCGGCGGCGAGCTCACGGAGCGCACATGGCGAAGGTGGCGCCCACCAGGGTCACCGTGTCCATCAGCTTGCTGCGCCGGTTCTTCGACTTGGAGCGCGAGCGCGAGCGCCGCGGCCGGCGGAAGCTGCGCGAGCGCCACCGCGCCATGGCCGGCTGCGCCTCGTCCAGCTCGTCCTCCTCGTCTCCGTCGGGCGCGGCGTCGCGCGGCGGCGAGCGCTCGGCCAGCGGCGCCAGCCGCGCCGCCGGCGAGAACGCCCGAAACACCTCCGGGTGGAACTCCTCGGCGGACGCCAGCGACGGCGTGGCGCGGCTGCCGACGGCCGAGTCCTTGCTCGGCGTGGTGACGTACAGCGGCTCATCCAGCAGCGAGCCGGACGAGTCGCTGGCGCCGGCGGTCGAGGCCGGCGGCGGGCCGTACAGGCCGTCGTAGCAGCCGATAAACGACATGCGTCGCTCCAGGTACTTGTCGCTGCGCTCCGTCACGCCCGTTATCGTGGTGGTGCCCGAGCCACACTCGATGTCCATCAGGCGCGCCGCGTCCAGCGTCGTGCGCCGTGACGAGCAGCCGCAGCCCGAGTCGAGCGAGTCCTCCTTGCGCGCGGGCACCTTCAGTTGGCGTTGGCGCTGCGCGCCCGGCCACCGCTCCTGCTTGTACTTGACGCTGCCCTGTCGCGTGAAGCGCTGCGGGCCGCGCGACGACGCCACGCTCGCGTCGTCGCGCGACGAGGCCACGCTGGCCGCGTCGTCGGCCGGCGGCGGCAGCAGCAGCGGCGGCGGCGGCGGCGGGGGCGCGGCCGGCAGCAGCTCGCTGGTTGACGTGGCCATGTCCTGCAGCCGGCGGATGTACTCCTCGGTGTACGCTGCTGACGGCGAGCGCTGCGGCCGGCCGTGCGTGCAGCCGGGGCCCGCACGTCACAACCGGCGAGTGGCGCTGCGGCGTGCCCGCCGCCGACACCAGCTGGTCCACGTACTCGCGCAGCAGCGCGTTCGGGCTCAGCCGCACGCCGCTGTCGGTCGGGCTCGGCCGGCGCAGCTCGATCGGCTCCGGCGACGTGCACAGCTTAATCTCGTGAATGTGTCGGATGGTGACCTGGTCAGTGAGAGGCGCCGACGACGGCGGCGGCGGCGGCGGTGGCGGGGGCGGCGCCGCGCGTGCCGCGTGCGCCGCGGACGCCGCGAGCGACGGCGGCGCCGGGACGCGCACTGGGGCCCGCGCCGCCGCCGGTCGGCGCGCCAGCAGCTGAGTGTCGGACGCCCACCTGTTCTCAGCCTGCAGCGAGGTCTCGCGCGCGCGCAGGTCGTCCAGCAGCGCGCGGTACGCCTCCTCCTGGTCCTGGCGACCGCCGTCCACGCGGGCGCGCAGCTGCCGGTTCTCGTGCTGCAGCCGGAGCAGCTTCTCCCTGCGGGCGGGGAGAGGCGGCGGCGCCGCTGCAGGGAGCTCGACGCGGCAGGGCGATGCCAGGCCTCGCGCGGAGAGAGCCGAGCGGCTCTCACGGGGTAGGCACAGGGAGGAACAGGCTCACTCACGGGCTCATCTCAACACTGCCGCGACACGGACGGGGATGGTACTCACGCTAACACACTTGCCTCAGACAAGGGCTGATCCGTCACCCCCCACACGACCACCAGAGGCTCACACGGCTCACGGGAGGCAGAGGCGTCACACGTAATAGTTACCGCGGGGATGCGTGGTACGCTGGAAGTACAGTCGTCGCATTTACACACTCGCTCACTGGACCGGCTCAAGGACTGAATCGGGCCCGCCAATGAGCAGTATCGTCGGACAACAACAAACAATGCGAAGCTCATGGATGAATAACTTCGAACTGACACAAAAACACACCGCTTGAATCACATCAAACTTGAAGAGCTGGCTCAAAACCAGGCAGCCAGCCAATGATCGCGACAAAAAACAAGCCAACAAGCGCGTGCACAAGGGAGCATCAACCAGGCGGGCGGGACAAACACACGAATGAGGCGACTGGACCCTGGAGCGAGCGCAAAACACTGCACTTAGCAGTGATTTCGAAAGCCAACCGACATGCACGTCGCCCACACGCATGCACACGCACATACAAGCAAGGGCACGACGCGTCCGCGGCCGCGCGCACGTCACCCACCCTGAGAAGAACTCTGATGGCAAGTCAGCCGTTTCTGCGTACGCACCGACGGCGGCTAGACCGCTTGCTACACGCCGGATGGCTCGATCCGCATGACAAAGGACACTCGCTCCCCCTGCCGCTTGAGGACCCCCCGGCAAATCAGAGTCCGTCTCCAGTGATTCACACGCCACGGCTGGATGCGGCGGACATGTACTGTAACGCGCCAACGATCGCGAGCCTGTTATCAGCGAGCGCTCGGACGGCGGCAAGTCTCCGCTCGTCAAGGACAGCCCGCAAAAAGGGCGGCTTCGATGACAATCTTGCCCAAAAGCACGGCCGTTTAAAATCGCGGCCCGGACAACGGGGACATTAGCTCATGGGGAAAGACATGGTGCGAACGGAGACAATACCGCCCACGTTCCGGGCTCTGTATAGATCGATAACATGCTTCCGCGTCGAGCGGCCGGGACAAATGCCAGCTCCAGCGGTTGACGGCTGCCGCCGCCCCGTCAGAGCCAATGTACCCCAACGAGTCGGGCTCGACCGGTCTCGGGGAGGACACTCCGCCCTCCGAGTCCGTGGAGGCCAGGACACACTCACGTGAACTCGACGTGGCGCCGCCTCCGTCCGATCACATCGAGCCAGGAGGAGCAGCCGGACGCATCAGCCGGGGGGTGCTGCGTCTCACTCGAACACTACCACCCACACTCACACTCAAACCCACCCCAGGGTAAACACCTACTGCAGTCCACGGGACGTCGCCCAGGTTAAGCCATATCAGCCCGTGGAGAACAGCACATATCCCCTGCATCAATGTGCTGCCTCCCCCCCCCCCCCCTCCCTCCACCCCACTCCCGAGATGTCACCCGAGGGCATCACCTCGACACATGCATTCCCTGCAACGACAGGCGCCTTATTCCGGCCCTGCAGCGGTCAGGTAAGTCCGAGTCCGGGACACAGCCGTCGAGGTTTCCGGCCGGCACAGAGCGCCGCCGGAGCCAGCTGCGGCCAGCGCCGCCATACTCACTTGACGTCGGTGGGGATCTGCTCCAACGCGCCCACGTCGGAGGGCGAGCCGCCGTCGGCCAGCCGGGCGCCCAGCGGCGACGGCGCGCCGCTCAGCTGCAGCTGCGCCAGCTTCAGCTCGTCGTTGACCTCGCGCCGCTTGGCGCGCTCCTCCGTCAGCCGCGGCCGGGGGGCGGACGGCGGCGGCAGGTCAGGCGGGGGCGGCACAGACCGCACACGACCGAGGCCGACACAACAGCAGCACGCCACCAGCCGGCACAGCGCGCCACTCGTCCCGCCGTGGCAGAGCGGCCTGGCACGGCCGTCGCCACAGCGCACAGCATCGCACGCTGCCGGAGTCACACCATCTCCCAGTGAATGTCTCGCTCTTTTCTCTCTGAGCGATGGCGAGACCCAGCCGAATTCAAGCGGCTGGCGTACGCGAACTTCCCGGCTCTACAGTCCTCACTGGTCAGTGCGGGCCGCCGACCTCACGCGCCTCTCATGCGCACGACCCACCCACCACCGCTGCCCCTCCCCGTGCCGGAGCTGGATCGTGAGGCGGCCGCCACCGGCCCCTCCCCTCTCATGATCTACGGCCCGGCAGCGGCCGTCTCCTCAAAGCGCATCCGCGACATTAACTCGGCTTCGCTGCGGCCGGGTCTAACGTGGCGATCAATGGCAGGGCGCAGCCGGCCGGCCGCCCGCGGCGCGCGCGACCGAGGGATGGCGGCCGACGCAGGGCACCCGGCCGTGCGAGATCGCCGGCGCGTCTCCGGCGGCCGCGCGCACTCATTCAAGCTCCGCGCGTCCTGGGGCGACGTCCGCTGCAGGATGAAAGGCTGGGAGCCTGATGGAGGGGCGATAGGGCGGCCACGCACCGGGCCGGAGCGCCCCGCGTGCACGCGGCGGCGGCGCGATCGGCGCGGTCGGCCGCACGCGAATAGGGTCATCGTCACCCGCCGCCGCCGCCGCCGCCGCCGCTCGTCGCATACCGAAGCAGCCGACAAAACACGGCGGGCGCCGGCCGACCCGACGGGCCGCGAGCGCGGGCAGGCGCGGCCCGGATGGCCCGGCTGGGAGCGCGCCCAAATGCTGACGCGCTGGCCGTGGCGATGGTTGGGAGTTCGGGGCACGACGGCCGGTGTCGGACTACCGACAACAGTATCGCGTCGGCACTAACAGTTCAAGCAGGCCGTCCGCTCCGAACAGTCGGCGCGCATATCGACAGGATAACCAGCCGGCTCTCCCGGCGCCGGCGACCAGCCGGCGCCGGGTCGGGACCAGCTATCGGCTCTCCCCTGACCAGCCGGCGCACATCGCACCCGCCACAGAGCTATCGGCTCTCCCCTGACCAGCCGGCGCACATCGCACCCGCCACAGAGCTATCGGCTCTCCCCTTGACCAGCCGGCGCACATCGCACCCGCCACAGAGCTATCGGCTCTCCCTGACCAGCCGGCGCACATCGCACCCGCCACAGAGCTATCGGCTCTCCCCTGACCAGCCGGCGCACATCGCACCCGCCACAGAGCTATCGGCTCTCCCCTGACCAGCCGGCGCACATCGCACCCGCCACAGAGCTATCGGCTCTCCCCTGACCAGCCGGCGCACATCGCACCCGCCACAGAGCTATCGGCTCTCCCCTGACCAGCCGGCGCACATCGCACCCGCCACAGAGCTATCGGCTCTCCCCTGACCAGCCGGCGCACATCGCACCCGCCACAGAGCTATCGGCTCTCCCCTGACCAGCCGGCGCACATCGCACCCGCCACAGAGCTATCGGCTCTCCCCTGACCAGCCGGCGCACATCGCACCCGCCACAGAGCTATCGGCTCTCCCCTGACCAGCCGGCGCACATCGCACCCGCCACAGAGCTATCGGCTCTCCCCTGACCAGCCGGCGCACATCGCACCCGCCACAGAGCTATCGGCTCTCCCCTGACCAGCCGGCGCACATCGCACCCGCCACAGAGCTATCGGCTCTCCCCTGACCAGCCGGCGCACATCGCACCCGCCACAGAGCTATCGGCTCTCCCTGACCAGCCGGCGCACATCGCACCCGCCACAGAGCTATCGGCTCTCCCCTGACCAGCCGGCACATCGCACCCGCCACAGAGCTATCGGCTCTCCCTGACCAGCCGGCGCACATCGCACCCGCCACAGCTATCGGCTCTCCCTGACCACCGCGCACATCGCACCCGCCACAAGCTATCGCTCTCCCTTGACCGCCGGCGCACATCGCACCCGCCACGCTCACGCCTTCGCCCCACCACAAGACGTGGCCCAGCGCTCCGGTGCCGGCCAGGGCGGCCCACCACCCCCGTCCCGGCCCTCTGCGTCCCCGCGAGGAGACCGACCTCCTTCTCGCTCTGCAGGGCGGCCATCTTCTCGGCCAGCTTGCGCAGGTCGAACTCGGCCTTGTCGCGCTTCTTGGTCTCCTCGGCCAGCTGGTCGTGCAGCTCGCCCACTTGTTTCTTGTAGAGGTCCAGCTGCGGTCGGTAGCTGCCCGACTTCTTCAGCTCCTGCGGACGCGCCAGGCACGGCGGGTCAGGCGGACCGGGCCGGGCGCGGCTGGTAACGCCAACGCCGGACAAGGCGCACGCCACATCACGCAGCTCTTTCTAGGAAACGCTCTCGCGCTGGTGATAATTGCATACGGTATACGGCGTTCTTAGACTGGATTACGGGGAGCTGACGTGGTGATTGCTCAGCGACGCGATTACCGAAGCTCAGTTGCAAGGAAGAGGCCCTAGCATTACGCAGTGGCACGCTCGAGATGACGGACCATAAGCGGCGCAGCGCACCGGTCCGAGTTCACCAGACAGACTCATTCGGAGGCTACGAACCTCCTCCAGCTCCATGTTCTGCTGCATGTAGTCGGTGTTCTTCTCCTCGAGCAGCTTGATCTGCCGACGCAGGTCGCCCATCTCCTGCAGCCGCTTCTGGTAGGTGTCCAGCTTGGCCTCGTACTGCGGCACCTTGGACGCCAGGTCGCGCAGGATCTCCAGCTCATCCTGCCGGCGGCACGCCCGTGGTTAGCAGGGAAGCCCAGAGTCGGAGCCAGCGGCCCAGACGCTCCGCTCGGCGCGCGGCATTACACTGTCACTATCATGCAATTTAGGTAGCCCGCAACCGCATCGGTGCAAAAAGTCGGGGACAGGAAAGCCCGACGGCAGATTGAAGGATGCGATTACATATCGACATACCGTGGGCGCAATCATGCCGGAGACAACGCGCCTGATTTTATCTGACACAAACATGACAAACGTACACGACGGCCAGATGCATCTCATCACGAAGCACAACGAGCAGCCACCAGCGGGCGACAGCGGAGACATCACCGGCTACGTTCACTCGCCCCAAAAGCGGGCGAGGAGGGGCGGCGTGAAGCCCCGCCCGCGGGACGGACGGCCCGCCCACTGACCCGGAGTCGGCGCGTCTCGTCCGCCATGCGCTGGAGCTCCTCGTTCTTGGTCTGCGTCTCCCGCAGGTCCTTCTCCACCACGTCGCACCTGCTGCGCAGCTCCTCCCGCGTGGCCTCCAGCTGCCGGGCGGGGACACGCGGCGTCACCCAAGTGACACCCGTCAGTCGCCCCACCGGTGTCACCCCAGTGACGTCACACATCGCGTCGACTGTCGGCAGCGGCCGCGCCACCCCCGGCAGAGTACGCCATCGCGGGGGGGGGGGACAGCCTTTGGATCGGTTATTGGCGCGGGCAAGCGTTCTGGTGGTTGGCGTGGTGCCGCGTGAAATGTTCGCGGCGCTCTGGGTGGTGAAATGTTCTCGCAGCACGCTAGGTTTAAACACGGGTCTCCCGATGAAAAGTCCACAGTTCGAGCACCGAGGACGGACGGGGCGCATTGGAGACTTGATCGAGAAGCCTGACTGACGGACTGCAATCAGATGCCAACTCCGCCCGATAGGCACAGCACGCCCCGCCCGACCAAACCGGGCGAACGGGCTCCGGAGAGCGGACGAAATGCAGACGTGAGTCCCCGTACGTGACAGCCGGCAGCGCTGCTACGGCGCCCCATTTATCGGGATTTCCCTGTCAAGGCGACACAAAGCCTGCAACGTTTGCGTCTAGGAGATCTCGCTGCTGCAGCCTGACAGCTCTGATTCCTCGACGAGGCAGTCCGGAGCCACGTGCCGGGTCAAGCGGGCCCTCGGCAGGACAGATGGCCCGCGAACGACCCGGACCGGCCGGTGACCAGCCCGGCCGCGCCCGGCCAGGTCAGGCTGGGGCGGAGTCGGCTCGCGGGCCGGGCCGGCGGAGCGGCCGGGACCAGTCCATCGGAATCAGTCCACCAGAGCCCGGCCACGCCCGGCCATGTCAGGCTGGGGCGGAGTCCGCTTCAGGACCGGGCCAGCGGAGCGGCCGGGACCAGTCCATCGGAATCAGTCCACCAGAGCCCGTCCACATGCGTCAAGTCGGGCGGCGTCAGGCAAGCAGGACTGAAGGAAGTGCTCCACATTTGTACGGGGTTTTGGACCGACACAGCCATTTTGAAGATTATTCGGTACAGTTCACAGCCCCTCTTAAAACCTCAACCCTTCTAATTTCTGAGTCATGCGCCCGCGGATATGTGCACACAATTTTGATGTGACTAATTCCAGGTCTCCCTTGCGCTCATGACGCCACAATGACGTCATTCAAATCCTGCCATTCCAATGGCCGCGCGGCGATCAAGGCCAAGAAAAATGTGTTTATTGGGTTGTTCACACCTGGCGTTCACGAACACGATTTCTCGACATGACGGCCGTCAGCTGGCTCTCAATCCGTGTTGTGCAAGCTACGATGGCGTAACCAAACAATGACGTATTGAGGCGCATATTTACTTAACAACGAAACCATGGAGTCTAGGGCAGCCTGTTCCACTCAAAACTCCACCAACAGTTACAAGTGAGCTTATTGCATCACGTCTGACGCTTGCTTCGATGTCTTCAAATGTGGAGCATCCCCTTTGAGGCGGGATCGGGTCTGGTTGAGTCAGCTTACGGTAGCAGTCAGTCCGTCAGTCCGGGCTCCTCGCATAAAACGAGCCCGGCGTGTCGGTGCCCTGCCCACAGACGGCACCACACCGCGCCGCCTCGGGCCGCCCGGGTCGTACCTTGTAGATCTCCTCATCGGCGGCGGCCAGCTTCTCGCGCAGCTGCTTGTAGCGCTGCCGCTGCTCGGGGCCCTCGCCGCCGGTCGATGCGTCCGGCAGCTCCTGCTGCAGCCGCAGCCGCTCCTGCAGCTTCTGGTTCTCGGCCCGCAGCATCGACTTCTCGTCCTGCAGCATCACGATCTGCCGGCGGCGGGCGACAGAGGTCAGGCTGAGGTCACCCGCGGGACACCAGTCACAAGGATCGGCGCTGTACGTATGCGCGCGTGCCGCCTTCCCCAGGCGCACACGCACAGCCGGCAGCGCCATTCCCTCGAGATATCCGAGCCGCCGTGCTGGCTGCGCTTTGCAGCGTCCACGTCTCGCCGCGGACCAGCGGCGCGGACGACTGGTTGACCACATCAGTCACATATCCATATCAGTCATATGCGTCGTAAAACCGTCAACGGAAGGGATTATGCTGGAGTTCCGCATTGTCCGCAGTACTGGCACCGCTCCTCACGCAGCAGACGTGAACCCGCCCGGAAACAAACAACTGGTGGCGGTTCGCAACGCATGCTGATGATGCGGCGGCCGCGTGGCTTGACGGACTAAGTATTTTAGTCAATTTCGGAAGTCAACAAGTAGACGTAGAGGCCATACACTTGGAGGACTGCGGGTTAAACGCTGGTCATTACGCCGACAGTCGCAGATGCGATGCCGAAGTTACTAAATATGGGCGACTGATTTAGCATGCAAAAAAGCTAATATCTCGCTCTTAATGACGGTCAACACACCCGAAAACAAACAGCATCGAACTCGGCATATATCAGCACCTGCGCGTTCCAGCGCCAGACCACGGCCAGACCGGTCGGAGGACCTGCCGCCGTCCACGTGCGGACGTGGCGCACGCGAGGGTCACCGGCCGGCGCGGCGCCCGTGCCGCCGCGCCCGCCCGCTTTTTACTGACATCAAAGCACGGCGACCTGAGCCGGACCGCACGGCGCCGGCCGGCGGCCGTCGCGGAGGCGACCTCCCCTTTCAGAGCCGCCGCGCTCGGCGGCCGCGTGCCGTGATCGAATCGTCAGTCCAAACTGGGAGCGCGCACGCAGCGGAGACGCCAGATGCAGATACTGCGTAGTGCTGCGCGAGACAAGACATCAAGATCCGGCATGGACGCCGAGACAGCGCGGCCGGCCAGCTGTGGCGTTGCACAATGGGACGCCGCGTTTTTGGCTGACCACGTCACCACACGGTGACCTTCTACGGCGGCGGTCGAGCGCCGCGACACGGCTTCGGTCCACGGGCGGCCGGGTCGCGTTTCGCGATGCCTTCTAAGCGCGCGTCGCACGCGGCAAGAAAGGGGCGGCCGGGCTGGGGCCATCTTCTAGGGCCATCTCAGGCCGCGGCTAGCACGCATGCCGTGCAGACTCGGTTCTTCGAGCTCGTAATCCGCCGAAAGCGATGATGGAGGGGGGGGGGGGGGCAGGTGGGCACACCAGCTCGTGCAGGGAGGGGGGGGGGGCTGACTCATCTCTCTCGAGCTGGATCAGGTAAGCACGTCCGGGAGCTATCGCGGACTCCGGACGGGCCGGCGGGCCCGCGGCATGCCATACCGCGCAGCACTTGGCCGACTCGGGACGCGCAGCGGCCGCCACGCCCGCCTGCCGCGCCTGCGTTCCACCGGCCGATCTTGCCGGACGTCCCCGGGGGAAGCAGCGCTCCCACCCCGTGAACGGGCCGCCCGCGCTGGTCCGACCCCTGGCCCGTCCGGCCACCTGGCCCGCCCGAGGCCCCCTCTTAAGCCGCCGCCGGTGGCTCCCGTTCGAGGAAGCTCTCAGGCGGGCGGAGCGGAGCACGCAGCCACCCCGCCCCGTCCGGCTGCAGCCACGCCTCTGCGCCGGGCCGGCTCCGCCCCCAAGGCCCACGACAGGCCGCTGCTGGCCGAGGGACGGGGCCGAGGCCGCCCGTGGCCCGCTCTCACGCCAGCAGCGGCACACGCCGGGTCTCCGGCGCCGCCGCCCGGCCGCCAGCGTTTTACTGGCGGCCCGGTGTCAGCACGCCCCGACCGCCTTGCGCCACAGCGCCCAGTTACACCCCGCGAAGGACGGAGAACGACGCCAGGTCACGGCAGCACTGGTCCGCCCGGCAGCGTCTCACACCGACCGGTCCATCGGGGCTACGTGACGTCATGGTGCAAGGTGACCCGGTGACGTGATGTCGGAGCGCCGTCCTCCCCAAACAGGTCCCGAGCGGAAAAGGCTCGCCCACGTGACGGCGACGCCGGATGTCCGGCTGGCACGCCGTATCTGGTGTTTGTGGGCGTGTCGATTACGTGGCAATGCTACTCCCTTTTCATAACACTGTCATCTATGTGAATGGAGCCCGCTGGCAGTTCATGTTGTGACATGAATTCATGAGTGAGAGCCTCTTCATAACACGCACCACCGCAACATGCTTTACATTTCCAAGAACTACTAAGTTGTTTGGCTATAGCTGATGCTGAAGCTAACGTACACTGAAAAGGCGAGCACGCGTAAAACGCAACAAAGTGGTCTACTGGGTGTTAGCGGACTTGCTCTAGCTGCTGCCTGCGCCCTCGCTCCACCCGTGCCACCCGTCACCCTGGCCGGAGGTGCTCGCCGACCGTACCGCTCGCGATCCTCACAAGCCGGCGTCAGCGGGCACGCCGGGTCACCATTCTGACGTGTCGTCCAGCACAGCGTCCGGGCGCCGCCTGTCCCAGTGCTACAAAGCTTACCGCCTCGATGGGCGGGCGGCCGGCCGGCGGCGACGCGGCTGATCGGCAGCCAACACGGTAGAGGCACGGGTCGGCGCCGAACGGCCGCTGTTACACCGGTCATTTACATAGAGATGGCCCGGCCCGGCTGCCGCCGCCGGGCCGGGCCTGCAGCGAGACGAAGCTGGCCGGGCCGCTTCCCGGACGGCGGCAGCCGGGCGGAGCGCAGCGCCCTACGGCCGCTGCCGACTGCGGGGGCGGCGCGAGGTTGTAGCGGGCGTCCAGCGGCGCCGCCCCCCTCCCTGCTCGTGACGGGCGGCCGAGCCCGGGCGCGCCGCCGCCGCCGGCTCAGCGGCGCGGTGCGGGGCCTCGTCCCGGATCCGCCGTCGTTCCGCCCACCAGGGCACGTCACAGTCTCGGGCCTCTCTCTGGACTTGCCAGCATCTCCGTCACCCCTACTCGCCCACCCGGCGCAAATTGCCAGGTCCGCCGT